ATTTCAAAATAATAGACAAAACTTGCATTTTACCCCTATGTTCTATTTTTAGCCATGTCGGCCATCTTGGTTGACAGGCGGGGTCATCGGACACATTGTTTAAACTAGATACCCCAATGATGATTGTGGCCAAGTTTGGATAAATTTGGCCCAGTAGTTTCAGAAGAGAAGATTTTTGTAAAAGTTAACGACGACGGACGACGGACGCCAAGTGATGAGAAAAGCTCACTTGGCCCAATGGGCCAGGTGAGCTAATAAACACGATTTAGATCTATATGATATATATATATATATATATATATATAATGACTGAATAATAGCCAACGATAAATCTTACGGGGCGATGGATCATAAAATTATGATACAGTACACTACAAAATATAATATATAACAAGTCTAAAAGGGTACAACATCACCAAAAAATAAAAAAATGTAACATTTTACATCTTACTGATGAAGGATATTAGTTATCCGAAATATCTAAAATTTGTTCATGATTTAATTATTTTTTTGGTGATGTTGTACCCTTTTAGACTTGTTATATATATATATATATATATATATATATATATATATATATATATATATATATTTTTAATTAAGATCCATTTATTACATCGGTGATCCGTTTTTTTTGGCAATCGCCAATGGCAGTCAGCAGGGTTTAAGAACATTTGTTGTTCGACCTGTTAGTCAAATGCGTTTTGTTAAAATATACTTTTTCACTTTTTTGGTCTTTTGGAAAATGTTGTTTGTGCTGTATTTAGACCCCTCTAACAAGAAATTTGTTTTGCATGCACACGTATAAAAATTGCGGTTTTTATCCAACGCAATCATAGGATTGAACGTTGTTTTCAATTTAGACTTGTTTATATATATATATTTCTCTAATTCTTCGTCAATTTATCCCTTTCTGCACCCATTGTATAAAAAAAATTTAATCAACGTGTGGTTCGTTTGATCTCAGTTCTTCATTGGCTAAAATCCGATTATGACGTCGAATTTTCTTGCTTTCCTCTGAATTTCCTATTGTGACGGCATGAAAAAAGGCGACCATGCCTGATGACGTCACATAGAAAGAACACATCTTTTTGCAGATCATTCGAAAAGAAGGAATAAATTTGCCTGCGTATTGTTTGAAAATCATTAGAGAAACAGATTCCACCACCAAATCTCGTGTAATACGATATTTATCCACTCTCGACAGTTAAATTTTAAATATTTAAAACGCTCGGCGAGCCTCGCGTTTTAAATTTGAAAATTTAACTGTCTCGAGTGGATAAATATCGTATCACACTCGATGCAGTGGTAGAATCTATATATATATAAGATAAAAAAGTATTTAAGTCAGGTTTTTGCGTAATTTATGTGCGTACAGTGTTAGGTTAGCACATTTCAAATGCTTTTTTCCCTATTTTCTGATTGCCTTGAAATATAAGCAAAATGAACTAATTTTTAATAACTCTAACGGATAAGCAAAGGTTGTTTTTATTATTCTATGTTACATTTTCTACAAACTAAATTCAATCAGCGTACACGAAATGCATCATGTCTATGCATGAATATATGAATATGAATATGGAACTATTCAGTGATGATTTAAAAGTCACAAAGCATCCTAAAAATTAAACACAGCAAGTTTCTTGCATAACAGTGTAGAGAAAGGGAGATTAAGACATTTAATGAACAAAATAAGCCGGGGGCATACCCTTTTATCCTGTCTATGCTGTAACCAACAAATGTATACTTGTAAAAAGTTAAATTACGTGTTGGAAACCAAGACTACAAAAGAAAAACATCATCACCGCATAACAGCAAGGATTAGTTATTTCACAACAGTATTCACAAATGGGCCTTTTTAAAAAATGTACCTATTTTAACAACTGGAAAATGAAAAAAAAATGTTGAGAAATAAGTGATTTAATTGTACATGTCAATACTTTAACATCTGTATAAACTAAATACAAAATATGCAACCTTAAACTGAACGGTAAATTTGACAACAACTCTGTAAAAGTGAACATGGTGTACCAATTTAAAGGTATTTTTTCTTCAAGAATCTGACAAAATAAATGATCTTATACGGTTTAACTATTTGATTTGCAATTTTAACTACTAGAAAATATTACAAGCCGTTTTTAAAATATTCACAAATGTCCACTGCGTAACGATATATGTCCCATATGAAACGCTCTTGTGTCCACTACGCAACGGATTGTGTCCACTTCGAAACGAAATGTTGTGTAGTGGACCGTTGCGCAGTGGACGTTTTTACATGTTAGCAGCCATTGTTGTTACGCGCAGTTTCTCAGATACATGTTTTTATGATTATTGTCTTAGATAATACATTTTATTTCATAAACTCCATGTTTTTTTATGATTTGAGTTCAACATTTCTTAAAAAAAAAGACGTTGCAAAGTGGACAAGTAAAAGAGTACGCTATCAATAGGACTTGTCAATTGATTAAATGCAGACAAACTATATCATCAGCATCCAAAGATGACCGTCATTTTACTAAATGAGGTTGTATTAGTGGCAAGTAAAAGGAAAGACTACAATTTAAATAAAAGAATTATTATAATTTTGCCAATTGTTTGTTGTCGTTGCGAAGTGGACATTTTTTCATGGAATCTATTTAAACTTGTATAAATATTTGAATACTTTTTGTAATGTTCAGATGTAGCTCTATGAAAAAACATTGAAAAGGGAGCTAAAAAGATTGTTAAATTGTATGAAATTTTCAAAATTTGAATAAACTTTCAAATGTGGACAGTCAATTTTTGTTGTTTTTGAGCCCTTTGGTCTGATATTTTCAGAGAGTCCTTACCATAAAGCAGACAAAAAGTGTTGTGGTTGTCTTTAATAAGTACATTTTATAGACTGAGACAAAAAAAAAATTTATATATAAATATATATGTATATATATAATTTTATCACAATTTAAGCCCTTGCCTGACAGAGAAAGTGGACATTTTTTGAAAAACGCCCCAATATAGAAATTTGTCTATCCTGTTACTATGGTTACTATGGCTACAGTAACATGATAGCCGATATGTGACCGAAACGTCTTCAAAAAGTATATAATTACATGTATTTTACAAATAATGAAATGTTTGGTTATTTGAAATAGACTCATTTTATGGTTGCAACGTCTTTGCCTACGCAATGTAGCACACACAAAATGCAATACTACTATCGGTTACATGATATACAAAACGGGTAACAGGATAGAACTTGATATTATAAGTTATATGGTTTACTACTGACCCCCTGAGATCATCCCCGGTTTTTGATGGGGTTCGTGTTGCTCAGTCTTTGGTTTTCTATGTTGTGTTTAGTGTACTGTTGTTTGTCTTTTGGTCTTTCTCCTTTTTTTTTTGCCATGGCGTTGTCAGTTTATTTTCGACTTATGACTTTGAATGTCCCTTTGGTATCTTTCGCCTCTCTTTTAATATTATGCAGCTTACTGTTCCGTTCATTAAAAAGGTCATATGCACTGAGGACAGTGGAAACCATACCTGCATAACTTTATTCGTTTTTTTACTATTGGTATATGATGTTTTAATATTTAAATGAAATTTTTGCATTGTGTATATATATTATCGTAGTGTTCGCCTTCAACCCCTCGGGGTATAAATGTGCATTTCTTAATGAAATAACGCAAATTTGCAGATCTAACATTTTTTGGGCTAAATTTGAGACGAAGTGTATATAAAGCATGGTGTTAGCCCGGTATAACCACAGGTTATCTGATGGACAACGTCTGTCTCAAAGTTGTCATATATTTAGACATATATGTATACATCCCTTTACCTTTGTCAACTCTGAAATTCTAGAATTATACCAGTTTAAATCGCAGGGTGCAATTCATTTGGGATGTATAAATACGCAGCCACAGTCAATTACAAAACCTTTGACAAAATTAAAAAAAAATTAAATTATCAAACTGCTATTTATTAGGGATGTGTAAATACGCAGCCTCTGTTGTAATTACTTTACCTCCGTCAAATTTGAAATTTGAGTATTATACCAGCTCAAATCGGTCAGTGCTATTCATTGGGAATGTATTTCTACGCAGTCTTTGTTGTAATAACTCAACTTTCGTCACCTGTGTAATTTGAGATATGTACCAGTTCATATCGCACATTACTATTTTTGTTAGAAGCATATCTATGCAGTCTCTGTTGTAAATACCTAACCTACGTCATTTTTGAAATTTTAGAATTGTACAAGCGTTGCTCGATTTTAATTGTAGAAATTTAAAGATTGTTATAGTTAAATCAGAATAGATTGATATGATTCATTTTACATCATAATCATACTGATGAAGGATATCTATTATCCGAAATATTCATAAATACTTACATTTAATGTTTCCTTTTTTTAATATTGGTGTTGTTTTGTACACTTTTTAGGCGTTTATATATATATATATATTTGGTGCTACGATATCTCAGTAGCATGACTTCGAATCTCGGCCAGGGAAGAACAAAAATTTGCTTCCGCAAATTTACAGAACTAACATTGTTGGGCTGTTATTTAGACGAATTATATATATAATTCTTTTCAGGCGTTTATATATATTTATATATATATATATATATATATAATTACTCTAAATATCAGCACAACAATGTTAAATCTGCAAATTTGCGGAAGCACATTTTTTGTTCTTCCCTCGCCGGGATTCGTGTTAAATCTGCAAATTTGCGGATATTTAGAGTAATTATATATATATTGAACTCATGCTATTGGGATATCGAGACAACACCGCCTGCACTGTGTCCAGCGCTCTAGACCACACGGCCACCTAGACTGAACGATATATATATATATTTAACTTTTCTTTATATATATATATTATATATATAATATATATTGACATTAAGTAACACTATATTTAGATATTGTTCACGTCTTTTTCAATTTTTGATTTTTGACAATGATCTAACTATTACAAATCCACAGAGCAATTTTGTTTGGTTATCCTGTAACTTACGAACTACTGGTTCAAACTGGTTACCACCGAAGAAGTTGCCAGTCATGCTATCACAATCTTTTTGTTTAGACCTATCACCATCTCTGAACTGGTATCCAGGATCAGCATTAGCTATGCAATGACTGTAAATATAATAAACATAACAATTTGACATGCCGTCAACAGTATAGTTTTCTGTAGATGCGTCAGTAAATTAAAGCTATCTTCCAAACTAACTTTTTAAACATTTAATTTATACGATCAGAGTGTATGCATGGTCCTACTCGGCTTAAAAGTAAGAAAAAACGTTTTATCAAAACACGTCACACTGCTATGCAATTATATGGTTATAAAATACTTACTAAAATGGACTGCTGTCACTTGCAGATATACAATTTACTTGAGTGTTGACAGGTGCTTGGATAGGTTTGCATTTGTCTGATGTACCTCCTAATCAATAAAGATTTTAAAAGTGTTAGTTGTTCTATGAATAAAACAGTAGTATTAAATAATTAAAAAAGAGATGCACATTAAAAAAAATTTAATTGAAGTATATATGTAGCAATGTACAGAAATAACATTTGTTGCTATATATTCTGTTGGTAAGTAGAACAATGCAAAATTGTATAAAACAGTATAAACAGTATGTTATATGCGGCTGCATATGGTCTGGAGTGCGTGAAGAAAAAGTTGTCAAACCCCAATTCCCCCAAAAAGTTATTTCACTAGTTCGATTTAGTTTTTTTTTAATACCAATATACATGAAGTTTCGTTATCGTTTCAACACACAATTTCCAAAATTGTAACTTGAAAAGAGGGGATGTGAAAACAAAGCCCAGACTGCTCCACTTGGTCCGTCGCCTGCATGTGTGCCAAACAGTCCAGAATTAGAAATTTAACTGACCAGAATTTTTCTGAATTGAACAAAATGTAGTAACTAAGTGTTTTCCGATGGACAGATAAAATAACCAATCCAATCATGTAATTTTTGTTAACTAAACAAACTCTCTGACATTTTTTTTTAAAGATAATCATATCTTTAAAAAATCAGACACCATGAATATTAATAAAGCAATTACATCATCACGTCAAAAAAGGTTCGTATTTAAATAATAAAATATCTTTAGTAACTTTTTTTTTAGTTTTAAGTACATTTTCAATCGAAAAAATATCGTTTGTAAGTGGGAATTTAGATTTCAAACTTGTGACTTATTTCCAGATAACAGTACAGTTATTTTTTGTCTTATTAAGACACGCAACCGTCCGTGCGTTTGGGCGATAAGAATTTCAAGCTATCAGGATTAAACATGACCTAAGCTATTTCTAACGTATCAATCGTTAGCATTTAAAATGTGAAAATTATATAAATGACAATATTTATTGACGAGAAACTTGGTAGGAGGTAAGAGGACTGTCGATAGTCTTTCATCATTCACAAGTTTTTGGAACTAAAGGTCATTTTAATCTTTCTTTGATTATTAATCATCGAAAGTCGATAAAACGCATTGATACAATTTAAGCAATCTTCAATTTGTTAACTTATTACAAACAATTCGGAAAACTTCGACCAAAGAACTGTGTCCTATTAAATATCATATCACACACTTTCGTGCAAAAGTTAAAGCACGAAATTTAACGGTACAAAATAATTCTGTCGACTAGTAAAAATGGTGAAAAATATTGTCTATTGTCCAAAGCTATAGTAAAACAAATATGCATAGTTCATGTATTAGTATTTTTGTTTATATTGGACTCAAGCGAAAAGACGGAACTACTGTCACAGCGAGAGAAAGCAAGTGCTACCGAGAAACGGGATTGGTTTTTACGTAATACGTGCATTTTATTGTCATTATTTAAATCCGGAATAATTCACCCTCAAATAAATTTACGTATGCAACATTTAAAATTGAAAAAGTCTTAAGAAACCTATAAGATAAAGTACTGCTCTTATCTTTTTAATACAATTTTGTCACATACCCCGACAATAATATTCTACTTTATAAATACCTTTTAATAACTATGTTAGACAGAATTCAAAGAGTATTATGCAAGATTTGTTTTAAAAGATTTGTGTCAGACATGAACCAGATGCACCTATTTCGAAAATCACATCAGTAATTAAAAAAAAAACTGGCTTCTTTCTAAAAGAAATACTTAATATACTCATTATTGTACGAGTAAAGCAAAATATTTCATGATTATGCATCATGATATTTAGTCTTCATCTATGAAAAATGTCAAGAGAAGGACAAAGTTTCATATGGCAATGAATATTGGACAGTAATGACATTTTGTCTCGTTAAAGTTACATTTTGTGTATATTGCGACAATATTCCATGGATGAAGTGTCATGTAATTTTTTCTTATGAAAGGGAGGTATTTAGGACAATGGCATCATTAAAGTGTTTTATTTTATTGATAATTACAGCTTATATAAGAATGCCGGATTTTGATTGGTTGGTAACCAGTGTATTTTTCGCATATTCTAACATTTTTTCCTCATTTCAAACGAATTTCCTGTGTTTCACCACTGCCGGTGAATATGCCGCAAATTCCCCTCTATGCCGTGGTATTTGACATTTTGGATATTCCTTTTTTACCCTCGCGAGCCTCTTCCTGCCAAAATTTTTGGGATTCTTTCTCACCTTATCCCAATTATCAACTAAAGGCATGATAAAACAAAGATTGAGAAATCCGAAAACTGTAAACAAAATTGTCAGACAACACCGACTGCACGGCAGCAATCACGTGATCGTATATCGAAGAATGTGTTGTGTATATCAAGTGGAAAAAGACGTCTATACAAATGAACGATTTAATGATGCAATGACAATGACGTTTACACTGGTATTTTTCGCAAATACCCCTCCATAACATGATATATCTGTTCAAAATAACAAACATATATTATAAGTGATTGCCAGTACTTTACTTATACACATGTATTTAAACACAATGGGGACTTTTAATCAATGATAAATGCAAATTTAAATTAGCTTATGAGAAAATATATATTTGTAATCTAAATAAAATACTTGCCTTATAAAATATTTTCAGTTATAAAGATAATAATGAGCATGCTTCCTGCTTGTGCAGTATACATGAGAACTATTTGATGCAGACTTTCAGTGTTATACAACACATACTTTTCAAGAACAATATATCCAAAGATTTCAGAAACACTCGCACAATTTCATGGCATATGATTCCTCAGGGACGACATACTTTGATTAGAAAATATTGTTATGGCCAGAAATTCTTCACAGTGAAATATTGTCCCAAAGAACTTGACAAAATGTCATGAGAGGGACTTTATTTCGTAATGAAATATTGTCCTGGACAGTATTTCATTATAAAATTTTGTCTGGTGGACAATATTTCATGGGGATATTATATTATGTTACGCATGCAGGAGAAATAAATGTTGTTGTGAGATATATATATATATATATATATATATATATATATATATATATATATATATATATACAGTGCTGTTGTGAGGTATATGCAGTTTCTGTTGACTGGTTCATTCCTGCGCATATTAGAAATAAATGTTGTTGTGCATGAGATATATTCAGTCTCTGGTGACTGATTCATTCCCGCATAAGGAATAAATGTTATTGTGGGACATATGCACTCTTTGTTGACTGATTCATTCCCAGCTTGTTCCGACTCTGATCGATTAAGAATATAACAAAAATTAGTGGTATGGACACTTGTCCATTTATGCAGACCTTGTGTTCATCTCAAGTCTTTTTTTTTGCTAGCAGGTGTAGTTGAATTTTTTCTTATTGTCTTTTAACCCACATTTATCGATTTGTCTTTACCATTCCAAAAACCATATCTGACACAGACATATATTAACAAGTTAAAGATCAACAAAACTGAAAAACTGAAAATCTACCACCTCACCACCAGTTATGATCTTTCTTCTTACCTAAAAAAACGCATGGCTATCATTTTGCCCCAAATTTACTATATCACAAAAATAAATATTTCATTTCTGTTCAAGCCGTCACAAAACTCCAATAAATACCTCTTGTTCAAAAGATGCGCATATACAATATCCTTAACATAAAGTAAAAATAAACAAGAACTCAATGCATGGTTTCTCAACAATGAAACTGATCTTAACAAAGCCCGAAAGACTTGAATGCGAAAGAATATATAACCATGGCAGATTTGGTTTTTTTTTTTACAAAATAATGACATTGCAGCTACAGAATAAATGCATCAACAAAAGCCCATTTAAGTCTCTTTTCTGTTTTTTAGCAACCAAAGCAAAATATTGTTTGCACTAAATGCTAATTTATAATCCAAAAGCTATTAAACTCTCACCTCTATACAGCGAATTAACCCGTATGAATAATAAAATTATTGAAAACTGTGAAAGTTGCATTGAAGACTACATTTGAAAATAGCTATGTCATTCAAATATGCCGTTTGTGTTTAAAAATACTTGTGGATTTCTTTTTGCGGTAACTGATTTGTCGAAAATTCTCTATTTGACATTTCACTAAATGACAACCGACCTGTTCCGCCATTGCCGAATGGATCAGGCCCGCCGCCACCTCCTCCGAAAGGGTCACCTCCGCCACCAGCAAATGGATCTGGAACTGAAAAAGATTAAATCTACATTTTAATTCTGAACTTGCTGATTTTCCACATGTTTTATGCACCATGGTAGAATGTAAATGATTTTCGTAGTAACCGGTTAATTTCAGTCTCAAATTTGACATTGCGTTTTGTATTCACTTCATCTACCTTCTAATTGACTTATTATATTATAGATATTTTACACTAGAATAAAACATATTTTCACAGTCACTTGAATTTCTATCCAAAAATGGTAAAAAAAAATATAAAAATATATATCATAAACTATATAGTATAGTATAGAGTGATATTTTTTTTTATCAAGCGCACAAGGTCTTCATTTAATTATTAAACCTTCTATGGTACATATTAGCGACTCACTTTTACATTCCAGGACAATATATATATATATATATATACAAGTCTAAATTGAAAACAACAATCAAACCTATGATTGCGTTGGATAAAAACCGCAATTTTTATACGTGTGCATGCAAAACAAATTTCTTGTTAGAGGGATCTAAATACAGCACAAACAACATTTTCCAAAAGACCAAAAAAGTGAAAAAGTATATTTTAACAAAACGCATTTGACTAACAGGTCGAACAACAAATGTTCTTAAATCCTGCTGACTGCCATTGGCGATTGCCAAATAAACGGATCACAAGGTGTAATAAATGGATCTTAACTATAAATTTAATACCAAACAGAAAACAATAAACTTGCGGCGAAGATGGTATACCGCAAACAAAGGTGCAAAGATTTTTTGTACACCATATCCGGATTTCGACAATTAATGTCTCTTCAGTGATGTTAGGAATCGAAACGGTACATATATATATATATATATATTTGGTATTAAATTTTTAATTAAGATCCATTTATTACACCTTGTGATCCGTTTATTTGGCAATCGCCAATGGCATTCAGCAGGATTAAAGAACATTTTTTGTTCGACCTGTTAGTCAAATGCGTTTTGTTAAAATATACTTTTTCACTTTTTTTGGTCTTTTGGAAAATGTTGTTTGTGCTGTATTTAGAACCCTCTAACAAGAAATTTGTTTTTGCATGCACACGTATAAAAATTGCGGTTTTTATCCAACACAATCATAGGTTTGAACGTTGTTTTCAATTTAGACTTGTATATATATATATATATATATATATAAGTCTAGAGATTTGCACAACGATACTAATATAAGATGGTATTATACGAAGATGTTGTTAATAAATCGTGTTGACAAATATTTCGGCTTAACAAATAGCCTTCTTCGGTGTGAAGAAGAAGGCTATTTGTTAAGCCGAAATATTTGTCAACACGATTTATTAACAACATCTTCGTATAATACCATCTTATATTAGTATCGTTGTGCAAATCTCTAGACTTATATAATTTTTTCCTTATCTGCACAGTA